AGTCTGAAGAAGGATCCAGACCCGAAACGTCAGCTTTCCTGCTCCTCTGATGCTGCTTGGCCTGCTGGGTTCATTCAGCTCTACACCTTGTTATATCAGATTCTCCAGAATTGGCAGTTCCTACTATCTTTGTAACATCTTTTTCATCTTTTGCTCAAAGAACAAAGAACAGTACAGCACAGGAACAGGTTCTTTGGCCCTCCAAGACTGTGCCAACACATGATGCCTTTCTAAACTAAAAACCCTTTGCCTCTACAATGCCCATATCCCTCTAATCTCTGCCTATTCATGTATCTATCAAGATGCTACTTAAACATTGCTATTGTATCCGCCTCCACCACCTCCTCTGGCAGCATATTCCAGGCACTTACCCCGCTCTGTGTTAAAATAAAAGGGCCCCTCACATCACCTTTAAATGTACCCCATTTTACCTTAAACATGCGTCCCTAGTAATTGACATTTCTGCCCTGGGAAAAAGACTCTGACTATCCATTCTATCCACTGCCTCTCATAATTTTGTAAAGTTCTATCAAGTCACCATTCATTCTTCGACATTCAAGTGGAAACAAACCAAGTTTGTCCAATCGCTCCTCAAAGCTAATACCCTCCAAACCAGGCAACATCCTGGTAAACTGTTTCTGTACCCTCTCCAAAGCTTCCATCTCCTTCCGGTAGTGTGGTGACCAAAACTGTGTACAATATTCCAAATATGGCCTAACTAAAGTTCTGTACAGCTGCAACATGACTTGCCAATTTTTATACTCTATGCCCCAACCAATGAAGGCAGCATGCCATTTGCTTTCTTGACCACCTTATCCACTTGTAATGCTACTTTCAGGAAACTGGGGACTCATACTCCCCAGAGGGCAGTTAAGAGATAACCACATTGCTGTGGGTCTGGAGTCACACGTAAGCCAGACCAGGTAATGATGGCAATTTCCTTCCCTGAAGGTCATTAGTGAACCATCATCATTAGACTCTTGATTCTAGACTTTTTAATGAATTCAATATTAACCTACACCCACAGCAGGATTTGAAAGCCAATACCCAGAACATTGTCAGAGAATCCCCACGTTGAGGAAGCAGGCCATTTCACCCATCAAGTCCACACAGACCGTCTAAAGACCCACCCAGATCCAGCACCCTACACTATCCCTGCATTTCCCATGGCCAATCCACTCAGCCTGCACATCTTTGGACTGTGGGAGGAAACTGGAGCACCCGGAGGAAACCCACACAGACATGGGGAGAATGTGCAAACACCACACAGACAGTCACCCGAGGGTGGAATCGAACTGGGGCCCCTGGTGCTGTGAGGCAGCAGGGCTGATCACTGAGCCACCGTGCCATTACCTGAGTGTCTGGATTAACAGACGAGTGATAACACCCTTAGGCTATCAGCTGCCCTAGTGTTACCACCTCAAGTCGCATAGGTTCTTCTTCAAAACTGTATAAAATGTTAACATTGGTGAAAGGCGTGAAAGGACCAGTTGTGCAGAATACGCAGAATTACCCCGGAACCAAGAACTCCTGATACACCCATTCGGTGACAATGATCTTCAGCTTATAACTAACTTAATGGTATTTTGACAATTAAAATAACTATTTATTGCCTAAAGGATAACAAAATAGCCAAAACACTGAGATCCAAGGGCAAAAATGTTCTGATTGATTATCAGGAGCTTGTAACAATGAATTTTGAGTGTTATTACGACATTGCTACACACATCAAGCAATGTGACTATTTCTCCCAAGTTGAAACCTGCAGATGTTTCATTGCCACAAGTTAAATGTCACCCAAAACATTTGATTTGTTCAGGATTAGTACCACAGTTCCATCAAGTTGGCTATGATCACGTAAATGGGAGATAATCAAGATAAAGAAAACCTACCACATTCTCGTAGGTGGCATCCTCAAAGGTTAGTTTTCTGCGGCCGATAAGTGTGACTTTGGCAAAGAGTTGGCTTTGAACAATCTCCTTTAGCAGCACTTTCCCCGTCTCCCCAGAAGCTCCAAGAATGAAACAAGATTTATTCAGTGTCTTATACATTTCTCGGAGATTATTTATATCCTGAGACATACTGGAAACCAAAACAAGTAAAAATCAATTAATTGCCATTATAAAACATACCACTAAAACTATTAAGTGGACAAGTAAAAGTTGTCATTACCAACATCTTCAACAAATTGTTTTCTTTACCTCATCTGAAAGTGAGTTAAAATTAATTGTTAGTCTCTATGGCGACTGTTATACAAAGCCATCTGGTTCACTAATATCCTTCAGGAAAAGGAATCTGCCATCCTTACTCTGTATGCCCTACCTGTGGGTTCAATTCTTGCAACGGCTGAGGTTACTCTGAAGGAGGGGAATCAGTTAACTCAGTTGGCTTGATAGCTGGTTTGCAATGCAGAGTGAAGCCAACATGGGTTGACTTCCTGCACTGGCTGAGGTTACCATGTCTCAACCCCTCCCTTCAGATGAGGACCAGTGACCCCCAGGTTAATCCACCAGCAGTTGTCTCTCTCAAATGAGACAGCAGCCTTATTGTCTGACTTTACCTTTTTACTTTATGTGATACCTGATCCACAACAATGGGGTTGATTCTTAACTGTTCTCTGAAATGCTCCTAGCAAGTCACTCAGTTCAATTAGGAATGGGCAACAATTGCTGGCCTTGTCAGTGTTCCATCAAAGAATAAAGACAAATAAAATCGGAAATGCTGGATCACACTGAACCGTAGTTGCATTCGCTGTCAATCTCTGGCCAGTCATTTCCTCACATGTAAATTACTCTAATAGGGTAAATCTCTGATCCTATCCCACAGAGGCGCATTTTCAACAAGGGTCACAGGGTAACAATCAGGATCAGGAATATTAGCCGAGACTTTCTTCTGGAAGCTAACTGCACCACTCCCAAAACCAGCACTGACAGATTGCTACTCATCTAACATAACATGTCAGACATAAAGAAAAGTAGAAGGTGCTGTAGAAAGTGAACAGGTTTGGCAACATCTGTGAAGAGAGGTACAGAGTTAATGTTTCAAGTCAATGGCTTGTTTGGAACTTTTCTACAAGTACATTGACAGCAAGAGAGCAACTTGAGAGATAGAGAGTAGGATGCCTTAAAGATCAACAAGGTTGTCTTTGTGTTGAACCTCAGGAGATAGGGCAGACATTAAATGAATATTTCGTGTCAGTTTTTACTGTTGAGAGAGAAATGAAGGCTAGAGAACTTGGGGAAATAAATATTGATGTTTTGAAAATCATTCATATTAAAGAAAAGTAAGTGCTGGAGGTCTTAGAAAACATAAAGGTAGATACATCTCTAGGACCTGATTAAGTGTATCCCAGGACGTTGTGGGAAGTTAGGGAGTAAATTGCGGGGACTCTAGCAGAAGTATTTGTCAACACGGGTGAAGTACTGGAGGACTGCAGCGTAGCTAATATTGTACCATTATATAAGAAAGGATGTAGGGACAAGCCTGGAAACTATAGACCTGTGAGCTTGACATCAGTGGTGGGTAAGTGCGAGAAGTGATTCTGAAAGATAGGAATTACATGCATTTGGAGGAACAAGGATTGATTAGGGATAGTTTTGTGCAAGGAAAATCGTGTATCACAAACTTGATTGAGTTTTTTTTAATGAAGTAACCAAAATGATTGAGGGCAGAGCGGTAAACTTTGTTTACTTGGACTTTAGTACAGCCTTTCAAAAGGTTCTGCATGGTATATTAATTAATAAAGTTAGAACACATGGGATTCAGGGTTAGCTTGCCAATTGGATTTATCGTAGGAAAGAGAGGGTGGTGGTGGAGAGTTGTTTTTCAGACTGTGGCCAGTGGTGCTCCACAGGGATCTGTATTGAGTCCACCTTTGTTTTACATAAATGATTTGGAAGAGAATGTAGGAGGCATGGTTAGTAAGTTTTGCAGATGACACCAAAATTGGTGATGTAGAGGACCGTGGAGATTATCTAAGATTAAAAAAAGGGATCTTGATCAATTTGGCCAACAGGCTGAGGAGTGGCAGATGGATTTAATTTGGATAAATGTGTGGTATTGCATTTTGGTAAGACAAACAAGGACAGGGCTTATACAATTAATGGTAGGGCCCTGGGTAGTACTGTAGAACAGAGAGACCTAGGCGTTCAGGTGCATAATTCTTTGAAATTTGCGTCGCAGGGCAGGCAGGTTGGTTAAGAAGGTGTTTAGCACACTTGCCTCATTGCTCAGACCTTTGACAATAATAGTTGGGACATCATGTTGAGGTTGTATAGGACATTGGTGAGGCCTCATCTGGAGTACTGTGTCCAATTCTGGTCACCCTGCTACAGAAAGGATATTAGACAGGAGAAAAGTTCAGAAAAGATTCTCCAGAATGTTGCTGGGAATAGAGGGCTTGTGATATAAAGATAGGCTTGGACTTTTTTCACTGGAGCACAGGAGGTTGAGGGGTGACCTTATAGAGGTTTAAAAACTCACCAGGGGCATAGATAAAGTGAATGAAATAACTCCATGAAGGCCGGTATCCCATCACCAAGTCATCCTTTATTTACACACACAGTACAAGACATTGACCCAGTTAGCTCAGAGCCGGCTCCCAGAACAAACAGAACGCCTGACACTCCTATTTATATCTGTCAGCCAGGACGCCCTGATTGGGGCTGGTCCAATCGGGGAACTCATACTCTAATGAGGACCACCTGGCCGACCGCATTTCAATCATAACAATGAATGACAAGGGTCTTTTCCGTAAGGTGGGGGGAGTTCAAAACTAGGGGGCATATTTTTAAAGCAAGAGGGGAAAGATTTAAGAAGGACAAGAGGGACAACTATGTTCAACAGTGTGGTTTATGCATGGAATGAGCTACCAGAAAAAGTGGTGGATGCAGGTAAAGTTGCAATATTTAAACACATTTGGATAAGTTCACGAATCGAAAAGGTTTGGAGGGGATATGGGCAAAGCGCAGGCAGGTGAGACTAGTTCAATTTGGGAACATGGTCGGTATTGCTTGGTTGGACCAAACAGTCTGCTTCCATGCTGTATGATTCTAAGTCACATCAGACTCAAAATGCTAACTTCAGTTTCGCCCTCCACCGACACTGCAAGGCCTGCTGCATTTCTCCAGCAATTTCTGCTTTTATTTCAGATCTCTAGCATCCACATTCCGTGCTATTAACTGGGTACTGGACAAGCAGGCTGCCAAGAGTTCACTGCAAAACAGCCGAGCCACTGGCAGGTATATTCTCAGCTTGAAGCACCCAGAAGCTACCACAACAGCAACTTTTGTCACAAAAAAAAAAACTGATCTGAATGGGTAGATCATGCATATTAAAAGTTACACTCTGAATCAGAAATGACATACAATTTCTTGAGAAACAGCAACATTCATCACGTAACAACACAGATGCATTCCAGTTTATTTCTTTCCAAAGGAATTTAGACACAAGTCAACATAAATAATGCAGTAAAATAAAAACTAAAACAGGCACTGAACCTTGGTTTTACCTAGAGATGGGTAGAGGCCCTGGGTCAGAATTCTCCAGGTGATACAGCAAATAAGCCAAAGAAAGTACCAAAGTGCTGAGTAAAAACACACCAAGATTAAAGCCACTGACACCAGGAAGTTTCATCTCGCCTTCTCTCAGAGCTTCCGGATTACCGACTTCCGGACGGTGCTGCCCCCTGGAGCGGAGGACTAACTAGATGTGAACTTCAACTCCAACCATCCCATTGAGACACCAGGTACCACTGAGCATCACCTTCTGCATCACTGTGACAAGCCCAGCAGGAAGCATCACTGGACTTTCAAATAAAAGAAAAGGCGAAGAATTGCATTGGAGACAGTTCAGAGGAGGTCCACTGAATTGTTTCCTGAGATGAAGGGTTTTCCCTTATGATGAGAGATTCAGCTATGAAGCTCTCTGTAGTTTAAAAGCATGAGAAGAGATCTAGCTGAGGTAAATAAGATGATGAAGCGGATTGATAAAGTTAACGTAGAGAGGGTGTTTCCTCACATGGCGCAATCTTAGACGAGTGGTCATAGTTTTTGGATGGGGTGGTCAGATTTAAAATGGAGATGAGGAGAAATTACTTCTCTCAAAGGGTCATGAATCTGTGGAATTCACTATCATGTAACATTGAGTACATTTAAGGAGGGGAAAGACGGATGTTTAATTAGTGATTGGTTGAAACTTTATGGAGAACGGTCAGGAAAGGGGAGCTGAGGCAGAGATGAGATCAGCTATGATCATATCAAATGATGAAGAATACTCAAGAAGCAGATTGCCTATTCATGGTCCTTGTTCCTCTACGAATGGGGCAGTGATGCTGTGGTGGTAGCGTCACTGAACTAGCAACACAGAGGACAAAGCTTATGCTCAAAGAATGTGTGTTCAGATCCCACCATGGCAACTGATGGAATTTAAATTCAAATTAAATCTGGAATTATAAAACTAGTCCCACAGCCAACCATGACTATGATCACAAATTGCAGTAAAATCCTATCTGGTCCACTCATGCCCTTTAGGGCGGGAAATCTGCCATCCTTACCTGGAATCAGGCCACATGTAAGTCCAGACCCACAGCAATGTGTTCAATTATTAACTGTCCTCTGAACCACTGAGTTCAAAGGCTGAGCAACAAATGCTGACCTCACCAGTGATGCCCACATCTAATGAAAGAATTTTAAAAACTGTATTTTGCCACACTTTCTCGAAATATTACCACACTGCTGCATTTTGATTTTAAAAAAAGAGACTATAATGACTATGATAGTTTAAGCCGCAGAATTGTGCTAACACAGAAATTATTCACTGCTCCTCTACCCTTAACCATTCCAGTCTTTAACACAGCAAGGGCACAGAAAATAAAGAGTTCACAAAAACAGAAATTGCTGGAAAAACGCAATAGGTCTGGCGGCATCTGTGGAGAGAGAAACAGAGTTAACGTTTCGTGTCGTGACCCTTGTCAGAACGTTAACTGAGATGCTGCCAGACCTGCTGAGCTTTTCCAGCAATTTCTGTTTCTGTTTCTGATTCCAGTATCCGCAGTTCTTTTGGTTTTTAAGAAAACACAGTTAATGTTTCGAGTTCAGTGACGCTTCTTCAGAACTTGTGTTTGTGGAAGCGAGCTTTGGCAAACACTTTGTCAATCACGAGTGAAAACAAAAGTCATGATGATGAACAAAGACTAATCTGGAAGTCCTATCAGTGAGAGGGGCAGGACTTCTTCAAGGTAGACATACCTGGAGGAGGCGTGGCAGTGAGAGAAACACTAAAATAAAACAGAGAATTGCAGATGCTGGAAATCTGGACGGAACGAAAACAGAAATTTCTGGAGAAATTCAGCAGGTTTAGCACCATCTGTGGAGAGAGAAACAGGGTTAATATTTCGAGTACAGTGACTCCTTCTTCAAAATTAAACTTCTTAGTTTGAACTAGACAGGTTTCCGATCCATATCTGACAAAAGCACCCAGAACTGGATTTATTTTGATCTTTATCCAGTTTTGATTGTATCCTGTACAGCCAATAGAATACAGTTGCAGAGCTGGATGAACACAGCAGGCCAAAC